GTGTGTGTGTGTGTGTGTGTGTGCGTGTGCAGGCTCCGGGCTCTGGAGGCTGAGCAGGAGAGAGTGGGAGGAGCGGAAAGTGCTCCAGTCCAATCCGGGCCGCCGGGTAAAGCCTCTCCTGTGCGCTCTTCCCTCCCTCAGCCCGCAGAAAACAGTGAAACCCTCCCACAGAGGTGAGAGCGCAGATGTCATGAGAAAAGCGACCACACGACCAGAGCGCAGCGACCGACGCACCGACCAACCTCAGCCCGCCTCCCCGCGCCCCGGTCTGGGATGCTTTTAGCGCAAGAGACGCCTCCACCAAGGGCAGCCAGTGGACGTCGACGCTGATCATCTACACTGTTTTCGTTGTTGTCATTTTTGAACACGAGGACACCCCCCCACCACCACCACGCAACTCCCTCCCCATATATCTTTAAGCGTTTATGTTTGTTTCTTCATGACTGCTGCTTTGGGAAGCGAGCCTCAGCACCAGCTCCATCACCGCCAACACCATGCGAGGTAAGACCGTCTCACTGCTCCATGCCGCACCGCACTTTTCCCAAGCTTCATCCTGCTTAACGCAAACACACACATAACACGGCAGCCTTTATCCCAGATTTGGCCTTGAAAGTTTATTCTGGGAGTTTTTCCCTGCAAATCTGTTTTGTCCCCCCTTTCCGCAGATAAACTTGAAGTGTGTGTGGTTGGATTTCTCTGCAGCCTCACCAGCCTGCTCGCTCTTAAAATGCATCAAAGTTTATTTGGATCTCTGTGCATGTGTGTGTTTTGAGCCTGAGCGTGTGTTCGTGTATGAATAGGCCTAACAAACGTTGCAAATTCGTGCGTAAAGCTGTCGGAGGCTGCGGCTAAAAACTAAAAGTGGCGCAAGATATTTGATTAAAGCTTTTAATCATTTGAGCTCCGCTCCTCCACACCTGCGGGAACCAGGGATCAGATCAGATGATGTGAAGTGGGGGAAAAACTTTATTATTTTATTACAATGATAAACTTTATTGAATGTTTCAGGGATACTCAACACGCGCTCCACTAACCCATATTTCCATAACGCGCTGCATGCGCACCCCGCTGGGGATGTTGAAATTCAACGTCAATGTCGTCCTGTGCGCGCAGACACACACATACACACACACAAACATACTAACACACAGGTTAACACATCTCGTTCAACTCTCAATAAGCCTTTCCTCCCACTTGTTTGATTTCCCTTTAAATCAATCAATACTATTTGCAGTTTATCAGATATTAGCAGTCAATCCTTATACTTCATTATTTTATTTATTATTATTATTAGCTCAGTGTCTTTGGGTTTGTTTTTATTTGGACTTCTCTCTATAATGTGCACTTACGCAAAGTTGCAACACTAGTTCGACTGGATGATCTTGAAGTCTAATGTAAATGTAAAGGCTGCGTAAACTCGTCTAAAACTGGCACGTTTCCATATGACAATTATAGCAATTAAGCGACGTCTCGATGTCAAGCAGGAATGAGACAGGAAGTGTAGGATGATTCTCATTCACATGCACAAAGTCTACACTTTAGAGAAAACGCAAACGCTCCGCATGATAACGTGGGACAAAGTCAAATCTTGTTGAAAAAACGAAGCTTAAATATGTTTAAATAATAGACACACTTTCACTTAGTTTTTACACTGGCCCAATGGCATTGTTGTAATCAGATTTCTAGTTTCTTTGTCATTTATTTCTAGTTTTCCTTTTAAAATTAAAATGAATCTACATGATTATGAACTTAACTTCAATGTAGTTTTCCATCCATCTATCTGTCTATATCTTTCTATCTATCATTCTGTCTTTCTATCTATCTGTAATGTTTTTTGTGTTTGAATGTCATTTAAAGCTTTCTTCTACCTCAGGCCATCAAACCTGGGGCAAGAAAAGCATGAGAAGGCCAAACCCCCCCACTCCCACCCTCTCTCTCTCTCTCTCTCTCATCCCATGGCAAACTCTTCTGTCGTGCACCTTGTATTTTATCCACATTTTAATGGGCCTTGCGACCACTCTCGTGCATGGGAGGCTTTGGGGGGTATACCGAAAGCTCCTGCTTTCATTTTATAGCCGTGGTTGGCAGAAGAGGCCCCTGAAGCGTCTCTCTCACCTCTCTTTCTCCATGTCTCTCTCTCTCTTTCTCCCTCTCTCACTCTCTCTCTCCATCTTCCTCTCTCCCTCTGCACGCCCCAAAGGGTTTTGTCAGATAGAATTAAATCAGTGTGGGCCGTGCGGCCCCCACTCTCAACCTGTGTGTGTGTGTGTAAAGACTCAGCTGCCCTTACACAGAAATGTGCTCACAACCACAAGGTTATAAAAAATAGAGGCCCCTCATGAGCCGTGGTAATTATCACTTAACAATAGCCACAACTCCTGAAGCCCTGACCGAAGATGATGTCACCCCATCGCCAGGCCAGGAAACGCCAGAATATATAAAATAATATCATAAGGGCCTTTTGTTCCCGACAGAAAATGATGTATTGAAGAGTTTCTTTTCTAATATGACTCGATGTTGTGTAGGATGCTGTAAAAAGGATAATCATTTCTGTAATTTCAATGGCAAAATGATGATGCTGTGCTGTGAGTGGTGCTCCTCTAAAACCCCACAAAGTAGTTGCGTAATAAAATAGCATTGGTAACAGTGGTGTCATATTTTGATGAAAAGTTTCAGCGATGGCGAAGTTAAGACCTATACAATAAAAGCTATAAATGACAAAAATAAGAAATAAAAAGAAAATATTTCATTGTTGTCTATTTCAATGTTGATTGATAGTGTAATCATTGCCATCAAATTGATGTTTTGGAGGAATAAATATGGGTTTTCAAAGTGCATCAGAGCCAAACAACAACCTTTCCCTCCTCCTACCAAAAGTTTCATTTAGTTCTAGTCAGTCTAAGCGTCTGAGTTTAAACACAATTTGAGCTAAAGACAAACACATGCTTGTACACACTGCAGCAAGTGAATATTTGCATATGTACAAACGTACAAAACCACATTGAGCATAAACTAATATGTATTCAACATATCAACATTTTCCTATTTTCTCTATGATCTTAACATTAGTTCCATCATCCTGAGTCCATTTATGTTTTGTATGACTGAAAAAACCCCATAAGAGTGTTTACACTGCATAGATGCTCCTGGGTCAGCAAGGTCAGGGAGTTCATTGATGGAGGGAGCTAAAGGGGAGGAGGGGTTTACAGCGCCATATGATCTCCCCTGTTAGCGATATGTGTCAATCACATTCTCTCACACTCCTTCACCATGGGAAAAGATAGGATGACAGAAACCCGGAGAGTGCGAGAGAGCAATAAACAAGAAAGGTGATGACAAGTGGTGTCAAAAGAAGAGAACAGGAACCACGAAAAGGCTCAAAGCTACAGCAACGTAATTATTCACATTTCTCCATTATTTATATTATCTCGAAAATGGCATGGATGTGCTCACATACCAACACAGAAGGCACTGACAACAATACGCACACGCACGCGCAGCTGCAATACTACGCATGACGGCCTCATCATGTCCAATCCCGCTTTGCAGTAGAGTGATGTGTGAACATTGATTCGGCCAATTCTAAAGCATCCCGCAATCAATTTTTAGTAGAAGCCAACGGAAGCAGTCTGTTTAGATAATTCTATAACTGGAATGGTGTTGAAAGAATAGTTTTGAATCCACAATTCACAGTATGTATTACTTAATTGAATTGTTTGTTTTGCTGTTGTAAAGTTTATTCCTATTGTAGGTTATTAAAGGTTTAAATGGATCAATGTGTTTATGCAATATAGGTAACTCTTAACTTTAAGTTCAGAAAACAGTCAATAAAGGGTTTATAAAACTAAAATATAGTTCTAAGCAGATCTTAGTGTTTATCAGTTTATTTGCAACCAACTATGATTGCGCCTGTGGGCACCATAGATGTATAAACAGATAATTAACATATGTTGCAGTAATATAACAAATGTCTTAAAAAAATAATTAAAATAGGAAAAATACATGATCAAATACTACCTAACCTCGGCCTACAACCACATTATCATGTATTATAATTCATGTTTATATAATGCTTATACAGGCCTGAGTGAATCTGTGGTTTGCACTGTTACCAGGGCATGTGTGGTCTGTTGCAGAGCTCTGATTGTGTTGTTTATTGTGTGTTTGTGCTGACTAATGGCCCAGTGTTATGTAAGAAGAGAGGAGAGATTACCCCAAGCCCATGCAGGCCACACTGTTAATCCCTCAACATAGCCCTACTGACTGACTGAGGTACCACCTGAGTGCTGTTGCAACACTGACACACACACACGTTCTCTCTCTTGCTCACAATCTCACACTTATAATCAGGACTCTGTGCCCCTGTCTTCCGATACCCCCACTCTACTACTCCTCACTTAGTGCGTCTGCCCGCCACGAAAAACATCCCAGCATGCCACACAGTGTGTGTGGCCTGCATGGCTCTTCCGTGGTCCCACTGAGCCACTATCATAGCCTATGTTTGTTTAGCATGCTCTCAACATGCACTCCATGTTGGTTTTATCCCTCCGCTGCTGTCTGGGAGAGTCTAGGCGAACAGTTTTACCCCCACTCTCTCGCTCTTCCTTTTCTTAATCTTTATACACACAAAGCGTGGGCTATACGGCACGCTTTGGTTTGTGTCCCCACTTTATCTTAGCCGGGAGGGATTTCAGCTTGAACCACTCCTAAACTCTAATTCTGCCTTGAAGTCATAAGAGTCTTCTGACAGCTCCTTCTGTTTTGTCAGTTTTACTCATCCATGAAGGCAGCATATCTCAATGGAGACACAATGATATTCAATATTCACATTTTCCTCCGATTTACATTGAAGTAAAAACCGGGGGAAGAGGGTGACTGCGCTTGTTAAACGCAGGAACCAAGTAATGTATGAACAGAGGGACCAGAGCTATCAGTGGAGGGGTATACTTTCATGAGCAGGAATTCTTTTTACTTTCTCAAAATCAATCTCGTTTTGTGGAGGGTTATACAGAGTAATTTAGCAAACATGTTCACCCGCACACTCCGGTTTTATTCACTGTCCTGTAGAACTGAGAATATCTGAAGTGAATACATGGTAAAATAAAGTTAAATCTGGAACTAAACAATAAAAGTGAATGATAGAGTGAGATTAGAAAAGAGAGCAAGCTCTGGAGTCTTAAGAGTTATATAATAGTGCGCTTGTGTGTGTTTGTGCGTATGTGTTTGCTTCAGCAAGAAAGAGTGAGAGGGATAATAGAGCGGAGGGTGGGTAAAACACTGAATTAGGGTTTAGTTGCAGGAACATTGACAGACACACACACACACACACACACACACACACACACACACTCCCCTGTCCTCACATTACTCTTGCACATAAAGCTTTTCCTTTGCAATGAAGAATGTCAGCACCTGTAATAGTCGTATCCACCCATTTAGACTCAGACTGACACTCAAAGCTGATTGAATTAAAGCCTCTGCTATACACAAATACATATGCA